TAATATCCTCAACAAAATATAAATTAAATTGATCGCCCCCATATTATTATAAACAAATACTGAATAAATACTTTTGAAAATTATCCCTACTACTCACATATGGCTACCCTCACTCCAAATCATACCCTCACTCCAAAACTTTTGAAAATTATTAAAACCAATTGTGAAGTTTGAATAAACGAATAAATTGGTAATTCGAATTGATATTTTTGTACTTGATTGTATGTTACTCTTTACACACTTCCGGAAAAAATATATCATATAAAACAAAAAATAGTAAACAGTATATAATAATTTAATCTTCTTAGGACCGATTCCACCGTTGTGTTAAACGAGGTTTAAAATGACATTTTTACATTAACAATGTCATTTTAATCTCCGTTTAACACAACGGTGGAATCGGCTCTTAGCTACTTTTGTTGTGGCAGGTCTTATTTCTAATTCTTCTTTGTCATAATTCTTTCTTGCTATTTCTTTACCTTCGCTTGGTTGAAATGTATTTGTGATCATTAAGTGATCATTTGTCTAAATTTATTCATTAGAATCACGAAGTATATATCTATACTTCGTGATTAGAATTTATAAGGTTTATTCCAACACAATAGCAAATCGGTTTACGTACTGTCGGGATTCTGCGCAGTCTAGATTTGATGTTCCAACAAACCTCGGATTCAAAACTGTACAAAAACCTAGTGTTCCAACATACTCAAACCTAATCACAAACCAGTTTCTGTACTGTCAAATCAGTTCCTGGGTCTGAATAGGAACGAATTGTCAAGACATGCGCAAAACGAAAGTTAGCTCGTAAATAAATCACGACCAACTCTGGAAATGTCGTGATTATATTCGTTTTGATAGCATCATCGATCGTAATCGCGATCGTAATTTGGTTTTTATTCATTATCATTATTTATAGTATACTATTTTATGAGTAATGGGTGCAGAAAGTGAAAAGAACTATTATTTTGATTTAGATACAGTAAAAAATAAAATAAGTTAATGTACTAACCAATCGAATATTCAAAATTTATGAATCTTTTAATGAGTTTTAATTTTTTTTATTTATTAAATTCAAAATTTAATATATGTTTATGTTTTTTCTACTTTTACGTTATTGATAGTGTGTCTGATAACAGAAACATGTTTTCCAACACAACCAAGTTCCGAATTCAGTCTCAATCATCGACAGGTCGTGGACTGGTCGTCGACTATTCGCGATTCAAATTAATTTTCGCGCACCTGTCATTTGTCACGTATAAGTAGGATGTTTGTTTATTTACGTGTTGTGGGATTTTGTATTTGTGATTTTTTAACTGTTTTTAGATAATATTCTTATTATAATAGTGGTTTTGAATTTCATTTAGTGTTAATTTAAGTTTAGTTTTCGTGCTTTCGTTATAAATGTAATATTTTTCATGTGTAGTAATGAACTAATTTGTTGGAAATATTGACCTATTGGTTGCTACAAGAACATCTAGAAATATGTATTTACTAAACCCAGGACATGTTTTATTATGTGGTTTAAAGGACATATCAGGTACCAAACGTTTATTATTGATGAACTTTAAAAATCTTACTATCCTTATTCTTATATCATGCAGTGAATTGTGTAGTACTTTGTATACATGTAAATGGTAATAAAACCGTCACAACTCATATTGGAGTTTGATTCTAAACAACGTTTTGCAAAATTTCAATATTGTGAATTTGTAGATATCCATTTATCGTAAGAAACAAAATTTTATGACTTGCACTTGAAAAATAATGAATAGTTCAGTTTTGATTTTGACAATAACACCATATAGAATGCAATTTGCTGGAGGCTTTTTCGCAGATTTCATTTTTAATTTAAATACTATCACATACTATAAGAAATAAACAAATTTAAAGCTAAAAAGTAACAAAAAACTCTAATTGTAATTGATACAAATTAAAATGTAAACAATGAACACGAACGCCGATGTTGCCAAATGATGAACTGATTTTGTCTCTGACTGATTTTAAAACTAAAATTAATAAATGAACTGAAATTTAAAAAAAAAATCAATATAATAAATCGATTTTATAAAAAAATCCTTAAATAAAAGTATGATTACATATTACTAGACACAAATTTTGATTCTTAAATAAAAGGTCCTATCCATTTCTTCAAGAACTAAAATCCGACGACGTAACGAAATTTTGCTTCTTCTGGCAACACTGAACGTCATCCTACTTATAGGGACCTTCTACTAATTTCCTCCAGAGGGCGTATCACTTAGCTTGAATCGCGAATCAGTTGTCGACAATAAGTTGTGGACTGGTTTGTGTATGGTTCCAAGATTATTGTTGGAACAAACCTCTAATTATATCACAAAATGTCATTCACCGGGAATTATATCTGTCATGCTCTGACAATACAAATTAGTGCGGGGTTGCCAAGTGTCTAATTAAAATCAACGAAAACGAAATATAAAAAAATTACCATATTTTTGACATAACATTTCCATACACTTTAAAGAGCACTTCTATAATTTATTTCCAGTCACATCTGACGATTTATTTAACCATTTTGATTGAATTGTTGTAGTACAAAATAATTAAATATTAATACTACATCATCAATAAAGTAAATAAAGTACTTTTAAAAAACTTTTAAACATAATTTTATTATTACTTTGTATTATCCAAAAGTTTAAAACAAGTGAATTTATTTGGTTGACAAATAACGCCAGCTAGCCAAATTTAAAGATTACTATTAACAAAAGGATAGCTGAATTAGTTCAATTTGTATCGGGTTAACTGTAACGTCACTCAGCGGATACTTTAAAAGTCATCGCATTTAAAACGTACATCGATACAGTCTTTTTTTAAATTACGACGTTCAAACATTTTTAAATTCAAAAGAACATTTGGATCCAGAGAGACAGTTAAAGACATTTAAAAATTATAGGAGTAAATAAATAGGCAAGTAGTAGGTAATAACTTTAAATACTAAGGCCATATTATCTAAACTTTTTTTTTAATTGAGAAATTTGAAACGTTAAGGTATAAATCTAAATGTACAGAGTGTACAAAAAGTAACGTAACATACTAATATTTAGATTCCTGATAGGTTTGCAAAACAATTTTGAATAAAATTTTAATAAATGAATCAAGTTAATATCAAATATACTGGGTTGGCCATTACTCCAAAATTACGCAATTATACATTTTTTAAATAATTTTTTTTGATCCAATTTTATTATTTAAAATTTCCTTTTATATTATAACCTTTAATTTTAATATCTTCCAACAATACTTTTACCGTTATAGATTTTTAATAATTTACCAATCACATGAAAAATTTTAATAATCATTCCTTTCCCTTTTATCATTATTAATAGTTTCTTCTTCCTGTTCAGTTTTACTTAAAAAATGTAACACATATTTTTTGTTATTTATTTAGTTTCTGGAGATTACACTATTCCTAAAGGCACAACCGTAATTATAGCACAACTGCTTATTCATCGTAACGAAAGATACTGGAAAAATCCAGAAACATTCAATCCAGATAATTTCCTTCCAGAAAATTGTCAAGAGAGACCGTACTACGCTTATGTACCTTTTAGTGCAGGTTCACGTAGCTGTGTTGGTAAGTAATGCATAATAATGTGTAACTCGAAAAAAAAATATCTAAACTAGGCCATAACCGAGAACCACAGTTATAAAAGTCACTATCACTGAAAAACGAAGAATTGTAAGCTCCGACATTAGTGATCTCTTCCATGGCCTACTTTAGATAAAAAAAATTGATACAATATACAACATTTGTACTGTGCGATTATTGGCATCTTTAAAATATCAATGATGTGGTTTCAACAAAGTACTGAACATATTTTTTGAGTATAAAAAAAGACATAAAACACATACACTAAAACGGACATAAAGAACACCACATAAATGGACATGACAAGGATTAAAGGAAATAGAACATAATAAAAAAAAAGGATTTTAACTTATTTTAACAATTTTCAATAACACACCCCAAACTTTTGACTAAAGAACTTTCGGATGTTAAACTCATTATTTTTTTAAAAAAAACAAGGTTTTAATAACAAAAAAAATATTTTACCAATAAAAAACTACTGAAGAAGGCACTGATCAGTGTCGAAAGCTTTAATCACACATACACCACACAAACACACACGCACACATTCACACACCCACACACACACGGACGCGCGCGCGCGCACACACACACACACACACACACACACACACACACACACACACACACACACACACACACACACACACACACACACACACACACACACACACACACACACACACACACACACACACACACACACACGAGTTACATTTTCCACTAACACCTAAAAACCCAAGGACTACAAGAAAAAAAAACAAAGTAATAATAATTACTAA